GGACTGTACTCGGTTAACGCCGCCCATCCCTTATTCAAGTACTCTCTCTCTCGTCTCTTCCATCTTTGTTGTCTCAGAAACTCCGAGATTGTGTCAATTCTCACCGCCGTTCAACAGTTTTAGGTTTTTCGCCTGAATCATGTCGTCCAGGGAAGGATCATTTTCCGATTTCGAGGTCGACCACCGACAGTGCGTCGAAGGGCCAAGACGTATCGTCTGGGCTTGAAAGCGCGGAGGAGGCGACGCAAACCCTAATGGATGGCAGAAAGGAGGCGATGCCAGACTCAAGACAGCAAAAGAAGACCCTCAACGGCCGAGCGTACCATTAACCCTCCCCGCAAAAACAGTATGTTCTATGTTATCGAGAATCCTGGGAAATCGACCTAATTTTGCGTAAATTCAGTTCATCTCAAAAATACCAGATGTAGATGAGTACACATGATGTAAGTGCTGGATTGATTCTAATGTTAGTTTGGTTGATTCAAATGTTACGTTCTAGGTTGATTCAAATGTTAGTTCTAGATGATCCAATGTTAGTTCTAGAGATTGATTCCAATGTTAGTTCTAGATGATTCAATGTTAGTACATTGACTTCAATGTTAGTTCTAGGATGGAGATGTAAATGTAGATTTTGTTAGTTCTAATATTAGTCCGTTAGTTCTATTGATCCTACAAATTCGAATTGTTTTTACAGGGAAAATGTTGCACCTACAGGTGCGGCCGAGTCACGAAGGCTGACCGCCAATCTTGGGCTATTGAAGTTCATGAAGAAAATAGCCTCGAAGATCAATCAGTATCATAGGGGATTGCTACCGCGGTTCTGTGTTGCAGCACTATATTGATTCGTGCTCCTGCTCCCGATCTGCCCACTCTAGAATTGCTGCTGCGCTATTAATGACGAGAAGCAAGAGCACATTTTCCATACCGGATTCAAATAGCGAGGTCTTTAGAAAGGTAAAATTTGATCTGCAATGGGTCCACAACCACACTCATTTTCCTATGAATGTGAATGTTGTAAGTAACATCGGGACTACAAACAGCAGAATATGATGAAAATACTTTGCAAATCTTTACATTTCTTGAAGAAGGCCAAGAGGTCGAAAAAAAACCAGAAACCTCCCAGCGCAAACACCTCGAAGGGCATCTGGAACGGTTAGTGGAATCAACAGAAACGGGGGATATCCAGGAATTTGTTTTGCTACAAATCATGTACCAATGCTCTATGATATGGAGCCCCAGAGCAGGGGAAGGTATCCCTAGACCCGTACTCAAATATCTGGATAGCATTGAGAGGTCAAGTCTGTTGCATGGGCCCGGTTCTTTTATGATGAAATTATCAGGGGCATTGGTGTTACGCTGGAGGGAAAGAAGGAGCGAAAGAAGGCATATGTCCCAGGTTGCATGACACTACTATGTGTAAGTT